TCTGGGAGAGCCAGGAGCCATCTGACGGCCCCGCACAGAACCTGACCGTCCACAAGAACGTCCCTTCCATCTGCATTCTGCTCTCCAGAGACCCCCTGGATCCCACCCAGACAGGCTACCAGCCCCCGGAGCCACTGGATGAGGCGGGAGAGGACGCGGCAGGCTCCTCTGCCAAGGGGCTGAAGCGCTTGCTGCCACCTCCCTGCGAGGAGCTGCTGCCCAAGAAGCTGCAGGTACAGGTGAATGACAGCCCAAGGGGCTCGGGGAGCACCCATGGCCAGCAGGACCATTGAGCCACCACATCCCACCCGACCACGCCGAGAACAGGGCAGGAATACCACTCATCCCGGGGCAGCTGTCCCACCCCTGTGGGCTGCTGGGGGGGCCTCGTCCCCAGGCTGGGGTTGAGGGCTAAAGGGTTAAGCTCTTACTCATGGACTGAAGCAGGACAAGATGTGAGGGGAGATGCTGACCCCTAATTCAGCCACATCCTGCAGCGACTCCCATGGAACCAGTGCTGGGATCACCACTGCTCCCTCATCCATCAGGAGAGATGGTTTTGCCCCAAGCTCGGAATAAAAGCTTCATTATCAAACCTGCTGCCAAGGAGCTGTCAGGGTGGTTAATGCCAGGCTCGGTGTCCCGTGGGGATGTGATTCATCCCAAGGAAACAGCCTTTGGGCTGTCCCTGCCTGTCTATGGGACAGCACAAGGGAATAAACCAACCTCCTCCTCCTTCCCGCATCAGATATTCCGGTGTGTGTTCTCCTGGAGGGACTGGAGCTGGGGGCAGTGGGAAGGGTGGGTGCTGATTGGGGCTGGATGTGGTGCCTGGCATAGGATAGGCAGTTCTGGGATCATGGCTTGGCTGCTGGGAAAGCCTTTGGGAGCAAAATCCCTGCTTCTTCCAGGGGGAAAAGGGAAATTAATGGGAAATAAAAGCTCTCTGGAAATAACAGTTGAGATATGCCTAGGGGAAAGCAAGGAGATCATCCTGGCTGCTGACCATAGCATGGATCAGCACAGCAAGGGCTGCTGCTGACTGGGACAAGGGGATCCCAGACAAACCCCTTGGCAGAGTAGGATCAGGGTCTCCTGGGGGAATTCCAGCTGCTCCAGCAGGCACTGGGCGATTTGGGGATGGGTTATGCGATGCCAAGCAAGCCCTGATCCACCTGGTTCCCCTGAACCAGCGCCCAGAGGCTCCGTGGGGTGAATTAATGAGTATCAATGAGCAAACCCTTTCCAAACCCCAGCCAGGAGCGAGCTGTGGCTGCAGCCCTTATCTCCCAGCTTCACTCCTCTCTTCAGGGAGAGCAGCCATCCCTTGTCTGCCAAGGGCTTGCTTGGCTGAGGGCAGGAGTGGAAGGGGATGAGGAGGAGGAGGAGGAGAAAAAGAAGAGGGTCTGTTCCATCCAGCAATGACCTTGTTGTCTCCCTGAGCAGCTGCTCCTCAGGCCAGAGGCTCAGCCTGCCTGAGGCTCAGTGTGCCTGCCCTGCTGCAGTTCCATTCCCTTCACTTGGACATTCATTTCCAGTGGTTCTTTTTGGGGTTTTGTTGAATTATTATTTTTGGTGGGTTTGGGGCTAGCAAAGCTCTGGGCTCTGTCCCATCCAGCCTCCAATCTCCAGTGTAGGCACCATTCAGGTTCAACCCTCTGCCCCAAGCACCAGCTATGAGCTCCTACCCCAAACGCACTACACAACATTAATTAAGAACTCCTAATGAATAAAACCCTCTGTAAACACTCTGATTAGAGTCTAAAAGCTGTGGCAGCTATGCAGAGAGCTGACAGCCCTTCATCTCTGCTGCTGTTGCCTCACATTGCTCCCAGCAAGGAGAGTGGGGAGGGGAAAACCATAAAAATCACTTATTTCTTCTTATTTTGTTAATGTACAAAATAGTTTTAATTGATTTTATAGGCAGGTGGTTTCCAGTCTTGGAGGCACGACTGGGAATTTCACACTTCGCTGGCTGTGGGCTGAGGGTTTTCTGTGTAAGAAGATGAGTAAAAAATATGAATGAAAATAACAGCAAAAAATCCCAAACCAAAACCAAGAATTTAAACCAGATCATGACATCTGGACCCAGAGGGGATGTGGGTTTGTGCAGCACTGCTGAAGCACAGTCCCAGGGATGGTTTTGGGGTGGGTTTGTGCCAGGCTGAGCCTTCCCCTCACAGGGATGGAGTGGGAGAATGTCCATGGGCATTCCCTGAGGGGGCTGTGCCAGGGGAGGGTTAGGCTGGATATAAGGGAAAGGTTCCTCACTCAGAGGTGTTTGGACACTGGTGCAGGTTTATGTTGGTATTAGGGAAAGGCTCCTCATTCAAGAGAGCATTTGGGCACTGGAACAGCTCCCCAGGGCAGTGGTCACATCCCAGCCTGACAGAGCTCAAAGAGGCTTTGGCCAACACTCTCAGGCACAGAGTGGGATCATTAGAGCTGTGCAGGGTCAGCAGTTGCACTGATCCCTATGGGTTCCTTCCAGCTTGGGATACTCAGTGACTCTGAGGCTGCAGCGTGGCCACGAGTGTGCGGGGTGGGCTGAGGGGCGAAACTACAACAGAATCGATCCCGAACTCCTCAGAACGGGGACTGAGCCGTTCCAAAGGGACACCAGAGCCCTCAGAGCGCAGACAGAGACACTCAGCCCAGCGCTCTGCTGAGGCACAGCCGCC